AAATACTGAGTTAAAAATCATCATATGTGTTCTACTGAAGAAACAAAATCACCTACATCTTGAATGCCTTGGGGGTAAACAGATAAACATCAAATTTTAATTTTTGGGTGAACTGTCCCTTTAAGGTTTGCTAGAGTTAAGACTAGTTAGTAGTAGTACATTCATTCATTTGAATGCATGATTTTATCCCTGGTCTCTTTTGAATTTCTTCATCTGAAGTTTGTATATACAGTAGTGTGTATTACTGCGTATGAGAGTTTAGTCTCCCGCGAGTTTTCCTGTTTACATGTCCCTCCATTAACATGTTAGTCTGCTGTTGTGGATAATTGGTATGTTCTGCACTGTCATTCTCTCTCTGCATCTTTATTTGATTGATCTGACAGAGCCGTTTTATGTTTTTTACCATCTGGAGACCAATCTGGAAATTATGTTTTGTGCTTTCATCAGAGAGTGGAAATATTTATTGGGCTTTAGAATGCAGCCCAGCACGCTTCTGCAACTTTTACAGCTGGAGGGAAACGCAAGGCCATTACAGTATAGCAAAGACACACATCTCTTATTACCTTATAAATTACATAAACAAGGTTATTTGCTGCCTGAGGTTTGGTTTATCTAGAGTGGCAGCGCAAGCCAGGGGCTGGATATGCTCTGAATGCCTGTAAATGTTTATCATCCACAGACTGTAAAACAGAAAGATGTTTTGTGGGTTTCTAGGTCTCCATATGCAGTGTGGATGTGTTGTTAACAGAGTTTATTGGTTGTCAGTAACTCTGGACCACAGTCACAAAAGTTTCAAAGACGCCTGAATGTAGTTAGTGTTTAAAAGTAGTTTTAAAGCGTGTTAATTTGTCTTTTACAACGGCCAAACTTCACAAACAGCTTTACAGCTTCAATTTTTTTCTGCCATGGTCAATTTTGTTCCCGACACTTTCCTCTAAGGGAAACAAAGCTCACAGCAGGGGTTTGTTATACACAGGAAGTGTTTTCAATTGATGTTCAGAAATGGCATTTTCATTAGTGGGTGTTAAAATGAACAGCAATGTTGGTGGTGTTTTAATGTTTCGCTGTGTGGTTGCTACAGTTGTCACAGATGTATTAGCTTTAGGTGCTGCTGGTGATGGTACATTCAAAGGAACAGCAGGGGTGCTGGAACCACTTTTTAGCCCATGTCTTATTCAGTTGAACATTGAGTGATATTAAAATATGAGCCATAAAAATATCCCACACCCGGAGCAGTGGGCAGCCATTTTTACTGCAGCGCCCACTGTTGGGGGTTCGGTGCCTTGCTCAAGGGTCTCACCTCAGTCGTGGTATTGAGGGTGGAAGAGAGCACTGGTCATTCACTCCCCACACATGCAATCGCTGCCGGTACCCAGACTCGAACCTGCCACCTTTGGGCTACAAGTCAGACTCTCTAACCATTTGGCCACGACTGCACCATATTAAAATATGGCCTTCAATGGGTTAATAAAATTGCATATATTGCACAAATAAATGGCTTATATATCCACTACTGTTCAGAAAATCAGGTCGGTAAGATTTTTCAAATGTTTTTGAAAGAATTTTGATTCTTTGATGTCTCTTATGCTCACTAAGGCTGCATTTATTTGCTCAAATGATAATATAAATAAATCAATATTATCAATAATAATATCAATTATCAATATTATTTACATTTTAGAATTTAAAATACATTTTCTTTTAATATACATATATATATATGTTTAGATAATTAAAAAATTATATATTTTAATATATAATTAAAAAGTAATTTATTCCTGTGATGGCAAAGCTGAATTTTCAGCAGATTATTATTATTATCATCATCATTGTTATTATTATTATTATCAGTGTTGAAATCACTGCTTAATGTATTTGTGGAATGTGTGATATTTTTTTCTGTATTTTTTGATACACAAAAAATTCAAAAGAACAGCATTTATTTGAGACAAATCTTTTGTAGCATTATAAATGTATTTATTTATTAGTACTGTAGTGACTAAACATGTCCGTTTTGTTGCCAAATTGGATATTGAGTGGCATGTAGGGATTTTTTTTTTTTGTGAGAAAAAAAAAACAAAAATTTACCACAGTGTAAGTCTTTATTCACTGAAAATCTTCATCTCAAATCTTTCACATCACTATCAGTTCAGACACACAAGATGCCACAGTGTATCTAAATAAATGTGGATATGAATGAGGTTTGAGACGGAGGGCAAGATTTTCAGTGAATAACGATGTGTTTTTATATGACAGGATGAGTCACTTACAGCAGGTAAGAGAGGACACTGAGGGGTGTTTGAGGTGACTCTGAATCCCTCCGTATGAACATCACCGTAGGGGACAGGAGTGTGTCAGAGAGAGGTGTGTGCTGCTGGGAGTCTCTGACACACAGCTTAACCTGAAGGACTCTCACTAGACAGAGACACAACACTGCCTGACTCTGAAGGGTTGAAGTTTTATTTTATTCTTTTTTATTTCAAGAGCGCTGACAAGAGTCAATATAGTCTACTGTATGTGTCGTACTAAGAGTAAAAACAAAAAAAAAAGTACATCCAAAAATAATTATTGAATTTATTTGTGAGAAATTAAGAAAAAAAAAAGATATATTAAAGGTCATAATATTATATATATTGCCAGAGTAAAGCAATGAATAAACAAAAAAGTTACTTTAGAAGTCAGTAAAATATTTGTTATGCTAAGAGAAAAAGGAATAAATCATCTAAAAAAAAATTAAAATTATTTCATTATTTACTTACTCCAAACTCAATTTTTTCTTCTGCGGATTACAAAAAAAAAAATAAAATTCTTTACTAATGTATGGTGATTTTTTGTTTCATCCAATTCCAATCAATGAGTACTAAAGTTTTCAAGCCTCAAAATCAGCACAAAAGCACAGAATGGAACAGAACACAGATATCCTTATGTTTTTGTTTTGTTTAATGTCTAGTTATTCTGGATGTTTTTGTAAAACTCAAATTTTTTTTTTACTTATCTTAAAAACAACTTTGGTCTTCCATGTACTTCTTTGAATAAATGTAAGGAAGACATGAGTCTTCATGTCATATGTTTAAAAAATTGCATCCCAAGTGTCCTATATGGAGATGCATTTTAGCTGGATAAATAAAATATTTATTTCAAAAATTAATATTCATTAAAATTTTAAAAGTTGTTATTTGTATATAATGTTATTTATATGTATGTTCTTTTATTTATATTAAAAAGTCTTGTAAAGAAATACTAATTAAAAATAATTTTTGTTTAGTTTATTTTTTTCTGAAATGTTCATTTTTATTTTTATTTCTGTTAACAAGAAGGTTTAATAACACTGTTTCAGGTATTGTTTGCCAACATGGATGCTGTGTTTTAAGAGACTGTGTCAAGCATAAAATAGTTTTAAAACGTGTCTTGAGACTCCTGCACTCTGTTCCATTCGCATTCTGTCCAGTTTTTTCAAGAACTGTAAAGTATGCTTTAGATTTCAAGCTTGAATTTAAGATAACTTTCAAAATTTTGCTAAAAATTTGAAAAAAATTTTCATGTTAGCCTCTGCTAGCCCTGGCTCATCTGATCCACTGACTTGACCGAAATGTGTGCTCATATTTTATTCTAGCAAGGTTACACGTCTGCAGATCGCAGCCAAGGTTTGTGAAAAATTATAAGAGGATGGCCTCATTATTATGAGTGGCTTGCGTTTGTGAATTTCTTGAGGCTGTTTTGTTCATGTGTGTGTTTATGCGTTTTTGTTTTGATGTCTGGGAAGAATTTTTTTTTTGATGACCCTGGAAGCCCCACTGAAATACCAGATTCATCATTCCGGTTGTGTTGTGAATCACCATGGAGACGTGGAGCGGCTCAATCTCTGTCTCTCTCAGGCATGACTGGAATTAAAGTCAGATAATTCACACTTTGAAAATCCACTTCTCGGAAGCAGCCTTGAAAGAAAAAGTGTGCTGCAGAACAAGGACAGGAAGTGACCGTCCTCATTAGGGTGCCGCTCAAACACAGATGATTACAGTACGAGCAGCGCTGCGTTTCCAGCCCATGCCAGCAAATGAGATAATGATGACACTGTATTCATATGCACGGCTGCAAAGGTCACTGGGTAATGAAAGCTACTCTTTTGCCTTTATGCTGGTTGAACCTCATGTTCTGAGCGTTGACTTCCTTTTATTTGAAAAGATTTAAAGGGATGAGTAATGGACTTCCATCCTTGAAGTGTCACTACAGAGCAGAACAACCAGCAGCCATTAATCATACCGCCAGAGCATGAATACAATCACCAGTCAGAAACTTAATGTGTCCTGCTAATGTGACTGACTCACATTTGAGTGTTAACTTTGACACCCGTTGAAAATGACATTAAACAGTTAACTGATTTTATCCCATATTAACAGGAGCGAGGCCTGTCTAATTTGATAGCTTAACCCAGAGGGAATGCTTCCTTTTCATTTTTTTAGGGTAACTGTACTATTTAGGGCTTAGTTTATACAATATATTTCAATATTACCTTTTTTTTTAAACATATATCGAACAATTAAGATTGTTTTAATGTATTTTTAACCCTCTGGGGTTGGCAAAGGTGCATTTGTCATGCTCAAGGCTACAATTTAAAGTGACTGTTTTCTATTTCAATACACTTTGAAATGTTTTAATATATTGTTCAATTTTTTTATTTCAAATCTTGCACCAAATTTTGAAATATGCATCAGAAGTATTAAAAAGCAGTTTTCAGCATTGATAATAATAAGAAATGTTTCAAATCAGCATATTAGAATTTAAAATTAAAATAGAAGTTACTTTATATTGTAATAATATTTCACAATATTACTGTGTATTGTACTGAAAGGGTTGTGATGGCCTTTAGCTGTGATTGTTTAAATAATACAGCATACCTAGTGCATTTAATGATTCTTTTCATCATAATACTGCATCAAGACTACTGTATCTTTTCGTAACAAGAGATAATAATATTATGACTATTAGCATAAAGTCAGGTTATCTGTGCTTCAAATGCTTGTTAAAATTGAGATTTCTTTGCGGTGTTGTATTGTAATGACTAAGAATCAGATAATGCTACTGCGTGAGCATTTAACTTCTCTAGTACATTCATTCTAGCAGAACTTGCCTGCATTTGTTGTTCTTATTTGGCATCATGACTGGATTTTACACGAGAACCAGGACAGCAGCTATAGTTATACAGTAATGTCAGGTCATCGGATTTAACTTTACTTTCCCTAAACATAGTGGTGTGATCATCTTAACAGAGATTATCGTGGTCAGGTGAGGTAAATCTGTCTGTTTTGCTTTTCCTGTTCATGCCGTCTGCCGTCAAACAGACTACAGTGCTGTTTATTTTCATGGCCTGCTACAGAAGCTGTTAAATTATGCAGTTCTTCTTTAAATAATGCTTTGAAAACATCTTAAAAGAAAAAAAAAACTATAAACTAATTTCTTGGCTGTCAGAGATGTAAATGTGATGTTGTTTCTGTCTCTTTCTACAGCAGTATAAATGACTTTGTATGTTTACCACAGCAAAAAAGCATCAAACATTTATGACGCAGCTAGACGGAAGAGCTGTAAAGTATCAGTAGAATGAGGTGCAGCAGACGATGCCCGAGAGACCTTTGAGGAAGTTCAAACCCACTATTCAAAGAAAAGTCAATCCTTTAAAGGAATAGTTCACTCAAAAATAAAACTTCTGTCATCATCGATTCACCCACATGCCTTCTAAACCTGTATGATTCACACAAATGGAGATGTTTTGCAGAATGTCCAAGCTGTTCTATTCCATACAACATATTTTCAACCGAGGGCTGTCAAGCGCCAAAAAAGACCACCATAAATGCATCAGGAGCATAGAAAACTATTAAAACTAGAAACATCGTTCATGCAAATTTTGAGCAAACGTCAAGTTTGAGGTTGTTAAATGTTTTTAAACGAGGTCTGTTTTGCTTGCCAAGGCTGCATTTGTTTAATATTGTGAAATATTATTACAATTTGAAATAACTGTTTTCTATTTTAATATGTTTTAAAATGTAATTTATTACTGTGATGTAAAGCAGAATTTTCAGCAGCCTTTACTTCAGTCTTTAGTGTCACATGATCCATCAGAAATCCTTCTAATATGCTGATTTGCTGCTCAACAAAACATTTCTTACAGCATATCAATGTTCAAAACAGTTGTGCTGCTGTATATTTTTGTGGAAATATTTTTGTTACATTTTTTTCAGGATTGTTTGATGAATAGGAGGTTTTACTGTCACTTTTGATTAATTTAATTTGTCCTTGCTTAATAAAAAATACTATATTCCTCCAAAAAAAGAAATATTTTGATAGTGTATGGTAGTGTACATTTCAGTGCCATTTGATGTCATTAATGTAAAACTTGAAGTAATGTGTAATTTTAAATGAATAATGACTAATTTCAGTGTGTTCTTCACACAAGATATTGAAATACGTAGGCTATATACTTAATAAAGGCAAATAAGGGCTTTTATTTGCCTTTTTGGAGTTTGAGAGCCACTGATTTCTGTCTTCTTTTGTTGTATGGAAAATAGTAGCTTGGAAAATATTCTGCAAATGATTATGGTCTAATGTCATAGAAAGAATATATAATGAAACCTCTTTTGAAGCAGTGATAGCAATATAATTCTGTAATTATCTAAAAATGTGATGCATAGAATTAAATATAATAATACACTAGCTTTGGTCGTTGATGTGCTCTAGGGATGTGTTGATACTAAACGTGTTGTCTCTCCCTCAGGGTATGCCTGCCAGTAAAGTGCGCTACAGAGTGGATCAGGATCTGTCTCCGTACAGTGGAAGTATCTTTGATGTGGAGACAGACACAGGACGAGTTATCACCAAAGTCAACCTGAATGAGCAGCCCAATGCCGTCTTCAGGGTGAGTCTGAGCCGACAGGCCGTCCTTCTGCTGTTAAACACTTCACTTGTGTGATGTTGAGCGGTGGTGCAAATATGCACACAACTTGAGTTGGAATCCAGGACAGTGTGATTAAAATGAAAGTTTTGTTTTAATTCACAAGAGTTTGTAAAGTACAAGATGGAGAATGAAATGGTTTGGATACATCTGTTTTTGTATTTATGTTAGTATTTGGACATACTAATTTGACTAACAAGTCAAACCTAGACTTTTATGGTAACACTTCAAGGTTTATTTCATTATGCTAATGCATTAGATATCAAGAACTAAAAATGTTCTGAGACGCAGAACATGCAGACAGACAGACAAATGGCAACAGACAGGCTCATTGGGTTTTGTTGGATCATTGTGTTGCCCCTGTACATGACTGAACATGTTGAATTGGTGTTTGTCGGGTCTTGGAATGTCTGAGAAGTGACGTACTGTAATCTGTGTTGTCTGTGTCTGTCGGTGCAGTGTGAATTGGCCTTCAGATAATCAGAAATGGAAATGGTTTGTCAGATGGCCACCAATAAAATACCAGCATGTGACTCATGTAATGTGCCCAATTACGCACATGCATGCCATAGCTATTTGTGTCATACTGTTCTATTAATAAGTCAAAGAAGTATACTGTTGTTACGCAAGACAGCATTGTGCTACTACTTGATAGAAAAGCACAAAACAAACTTTAAAATATTTTAAGACGCAGGGCCCACGACCGATCTAAAGTATACAGATAGAAATGTGTTACCCATTCTAAATGGGAAAGTGCCCAAGCAACATTGCTCAAAAAAAGTTGCCCAGGAAAATTGCTCAAAAAGTTGCCCCGTGTATCATCAGCCTGAGAGTTTAGCATGGTAATATACATGGCAGTATTAATGTGCCTGGTCTTGGCAGAATAGATCTGCTACGCTGCTGCTGCAGCAGAGCAAGTACCGAGACTTGCTACTGCCAATACATCCACAGACATGCTGCTGTGAGCATGTATTGAAATACAGCTACTGCATAACATTGTCACGTTGCACACACACGAGGGACGAGGAGACGCTGGAGGATATGTTGACAAGACTTTATTTACAGGAACCAAGGGAGACGAACTCAGGAAGACGTTCACACGAAGACGTACAACAGCGGACAGAGAACTTGGGACTGGGAACACATTTTATACACACACACAGGAGGAGGGGATGACGAGACACACCTGGGAGCAATAAGACCAAGGGAAACACCTGGGACAAATGAAATAAACTAATCAGGACAGGAACAGGAAACTAACCAAATAAGGGCATGGGAAGGCACATGGGGAGCAGGACACACACAAAACATGGAACAGAGTCTGACAAACATACTGTATATGAAATAACCCCCATATATAACATATTTGAAATTACCCCATAGCAGATCTATACAGGTGGAGCTGGGGAAGGTGGAGGGTTTTTGAAGTGCACTGCAACTGCTACAGCAAGCACTAGCCAAGTGGTTGGCTGTTGATAAGAAAAGAAACCAATCAGCTATGATTAAATCAGATTGAGTTAAGACCTATCGGCCTGCGCTGTCTAAAGTTTCATGACAGAACTTTGTGTTTCTACAGCATACTCACAATGAACCTGTGTACACTTTAGTTGCTGTCTCCTCTACTATGACCTGAATCGATATATAAATTAATTAGCCTAACGTTAAGTGAACTCAAATTAATTTACCTTTGAGCAAATGTTGGTTTTTCTGTGATAGAATGACTTTGTTTGGGAATGAGGGCTGACACAATATTTAATCAATAACATGCACTTCTCAGGATGTATTTTTAAGATTTATAAAAGGACAAATGCAGCATGCATACTTGATGTATACTTTGTGCCACTATTAAGTACCTGATCAAATATTAGACATGTCTGTCTGTCTGTAAAATAATAGATTTGACAGCAAAGTTTTTGTAATGTTTTCATATTCATCTTTACAATAAAAAACTAGTTCAATGACAAATAATGATGTCCGAGATTTTGAAAAAGAGAAATCCTTAAATAAAAATGAGTTGAAGACTTGCACCAATTAATTTTGCATTCATGTTGGTTTCAAACATTTATTTTTAAATGATTGTAGCTTTTTTGAGAAATGAAATGGATTAAATGTACTGTAGAAATGTCCAGTGGTTTGACCTTCAAGTGAAAAGCAATGACACATTTTCCTTTTACCTTGAATACAAATGAGTGTGTCCAACTTTTTCAAACAAGTTTTCAAATAAAAATATGTTTTTAAAATGCCATTGAATTTTAAATGAGTATCAGCAAGTTTTCTTGCATTTACATAAAAAAAAACTGAACTAGCCATGCCATGAAAAGGACAAAATATGTGATTAAAAAAAAAAAACTCTAGCCATTAAGGGGACAGACAGAAGTTTTTCAGTTTATTATATTTTAATACAAAGCTCCACTACATCTTGTTCCTTTTATTAAATATAAAAATATTAGGTATTGAAATTTAAATTCAGACACAAGTCGCTGTCTGTATGAACTGCGTGTTAATGTATTTTTCATGACCTCTTCTCGTAGCTGGTGGTCATCGCCTATGACGACGGAGAGCCGGTGAAAATGAACAGAACTACAGTCGAAATCACTGTGCTTCAGCCCTCCAGGATTCCCATCTTCACCGAGGAAGAGTACAGGTGGGTCCTGCTGTCTATAGAGAGCGAGAGAACAGGCATTTACTTATTTATGACATGTTCTCTTTGAGCTCTGTTAGTCAGAATTAGTTTAGCACATATTCCCCGCAGGCTGATTCAGAATCTCTGCAAGTGTAATGAGTGTTATCTGTTAATATGTGACTCTCAGCGCTGGGAGGTTGGCTCGAGCTGCTCTACCACACTCAAACAACTGTTGTTTTCAAAAGGGCACATCTGCAGCCCATCAGTGTGTTTCCGTGCGGACAATGTAAAGTCTGGCTTAGCATGTTAGGGGGTTTAGAGTTTAATGTTAGAGAAGTGTTTTGTTTGCAATTTTGATTAATGAAGACAGAAAATCTTATGACACTGACAAGGAACACAATTAAATTATAATATTTTTAATTCTTGTTTAGTTTCTAGCTTATAGTTTTGAACCAGTTACCCAGAAGCATTTTTTTATCTGATATCTTGGGTCATGCTAAATTTGACTGACTAAATTTAAACTATTTTGAGTTGTGAAATTGTTTTCAAACTTCTACCAGAGCTTTTATAAAATCTTCTGCTTTATTCTTCTTCTATTCTAAATTACATTGACCTAAGCTAAGACATACACATACACACACACATACATTCAGTTCTGAAGAATGAAAATGCTGTTAATGGAGTTCTGAGAAGTTCCCAAAGTTCTAACTCGTTTTCACGAGTGGTTATAAATTCAGCCTGAGAGAATTCATAAAGCAGAGATTTGTCTTACGTTTACTGCTTAAATCAATCATCAGTGCCAGTTCAGCAGATAGAAGATTTTGTTCATTACTTGCGTTTTGCTGAAAGCTGAAACGGGGTTCCGGATTTGGCTGCTGGAGGGAAATTCCTTTGCTGATTGGCTGTTGCGGTGACGTCAGGATGACGTCCTTTTGGGAGAGCCCTCGTTGGATTGGTTGGTTGCCGGGTTACAGAGGAGCCTCTGGTTCTTCTGAGAGAGTCTGCTTTAGCAAGACTTTGCGTTCTGCAGAGTTAAGAAGCTTCAACGGAGTAGTTGAGTTCTTAGATGGTCGATCGCCTGATGGTTCAGCTTGTGAGCACAAGTTAGAGTCTTTTGCTTGGCTTTAGGCTTTGAAGTCGGCAGTCGCGGAGTTTCCACTGAAGTGTTTGAGTTCTGGAGTCTCGCTTGTGCGATGTTACGGCATGGGAGCGCTTTGTCGCGCTCACCAAGGCGGAAAGCCACCGTTCTAGAGAGAGTAAGCGAGCGAGAGCTATTGAATCTGTGTTGCAGTGGGGTTTT